GGCCACACTGTCATCATCAATCGGAACATCTTGCTTCGGGCCTCGTGTCTTCCTGAATGAATCCACGAAAATAGTCTCTCTTCGCAAGTGGACAGCTGCACGCTAGGCATCTTCGACGCCGACTGGACCAGCACAAAGCAGGGTATACCAGTTAATAACGGGGGTAATTGAGCCTATTATCATATCCGTCCGGCCGGTCGAATTATGACCGGAACAACTGGGGCGATATTCGATCAGAATTATCGTTTCGGATATCCTTCCACCACTCGCCGAATCTCTCCGTTAATCTCTTACCGAATGATTGATACGATCAATTAACGAGGGGTCTAACACGGTGAATTTTCACGGGAGCACTTTCCTCTGTTCACCAGCACGCAAAAGGAATGATTAAGCGGACTTGGTGCTCGTTTCTGTGACGAATTAAATATTAAACCGCCTGAAAATCATCTCGGACTACTTACGCGAAAATGGTACTGGTGTCTGTGACACGGGAATACACGCGTTTCCTCTGCAATGATATAGCGAAGAATTTTTCTCTCTCTGTTTCTGCGAAACAAAAGAGTTACAAATCGCTATAATCCAGGGCACAAAGGACCGCGGATAGTCACGGTCCGTGAATCATCTTCGAGATACACGACGTCCCACGCGGAGAACGTCACAAAGAGTTGATTACCGTTTTCCTCCTTCGATCTACCGAATCCTGACGAGAGTCCTCCCCGCTGTCCAGGTTAGGAGACAAAGGAAGCCTGCGAAGAAAGAGTTAATCGCGGCTTCCGGCCTGTCCTGTCGAGGAGCAGCGCGAGAGGGCAAGAAAAAAAAAAAAGAAAAAGGGGGACGCGGCTCCGTTTGTAAAATTGCGACGCGCGCCTCACCTGAAAGCGGGACTTTAATCAAAACTTCGCGAACAGAGCGAGGGGGAGAAACGGAGGGCGACACAGAAGTAGAAGAGTCCTACTTTTTTTTTTCTACGCGTCCGAACTTGCATCTGACCTTTTCCGTCAGGGCGTAGCAACAATCACTGCGCCATTGTCCTATGTTACTTCGTTCATGGTGTCGGGCAGAAGGGGGTGGGGGGTGGAAGGCAAAACCCTTCGTCAGAAAGGGCAACTATCGCGTGTTAACTTTTTAGGGTTAGGTGAGTTAAAAACTGTCCCACCTTTTGCTTAGCTTTTTATGCATGATTGGATATATTTTAACCTACCTCGAAAAGTTGAAGTTATTCATAGTCATACAGTTTAATATTTTATTTTCATATCATTTTTTTTGTATTAAAAAAATTCTGTGCAACTAGGCTTTTTATTTTTTTTTAAATCGTGTTCCTCAAAGAGTTAACCCTTTCGATGTCATGAAAAGATGGTAATTTTTGTTTAGTGTATATACAGACTCCTCTCCATTGTTGTCCCGAACTGAAGTCCAGGCCGGGACAATAATCTTGTAAGGAGAAATGTTTCAGGGTACAAGAAAGTATGCAGTTCACAGGTTCCGCGGACTCTCCCCCCCAGTGGTGGGGATAACGCCTGGACAATAATCGTGTAGGACAAGCCAGACGATAATCCAGAGGAGTCTGTACTTGCCTAATTGTTTAATGATAAGTGTACTCGTAGGAAAATAAGAAAAATTGCTTTTGCTGTTCAAGGTAAGATTTAGGTAAAACAAAAAACATATTTGTGATTTCAACACATTTTAGAATATTCCAGGACAAAAATAAAGAAGATTCGCATCGCGTACAGGTTTTCACATTTACAACTTTCACCTATGTACATAAATATATCAAAAGTTTTCGTTTGTTTTTATCGAAGTTCACAAATAATACGATTGAAAATATAAAAAAGAAAGTACATTACTTCAGAATTTACGGTTGCAGAAGGGCCTGTTCTTGGGTTTGTCGTGGTTAACCCAGCCCCTTAGCAACAGATAAAAACAATCCCTTTCTTTTTGTCCGTTCGAAAAAATACGATTTCGAAAAACGCCCCGTTCGGTAGTTAACAGTTCTCCCGTAAACCTTGTCCACTTAACGAGGGGACGAAGAAGGAAAATTGGACGTGAGCAGCAACCCTTTATCGCGGGAATTACACCGGTTCGGTCGGTTCGAACGAAGAGAGAAATAAAGATAGAGACAGAGGAAGAGAGAGTTACCGTCCGCGCGACCTGGCCGAAATTCGCGCCAATTACCGTGCACGGAACGTATTTCCCAAGTCCTCTTTGAAACGTATTTCGGGGGCTTTTCGTTACCCGCAGCAACACAATGGTCCGTTGCCGCTTTCTTTGCCCCATTATGCCGCGCGCGCCACCGTCGACGTTACCCCCACCCTCTTCCCTGTCGGCGGCACAAAGACGGCCGACCTTTAAGGCAAGTTTGCATATACGCGCGTTCGAACCGACAATGCAAAGTTGGGGACGAGATGCGAATGATTCGAAAACGGCACCAACGGATGGTCGAAGCGGATTCGAAACTTTTTAGCGAATGAGGATAACCTGAATTCGAATTTTTCGAAGAAGAAAACCGTGGAGGATCTTCACGTCGAGTATACAGGGTGGAACAGTGAGAAATCGTTTAACGTGTTCGAGAGGCAGTCCAATGGTTTTGGGGATGAAACGAATAGAAAGATTTGGAGGGTCGCGGCCTTTGTTCGAGGAAATTCTTGGTTTCCGGTTGACCGACGAACCGAGCGAAAACTGGTGGAAATACAGGTATTTCACGAGTTACGACCTCCTCGACTTACGAACGTAAGAAAAATTTTTTTTTGATGATTGAAATGAAGACTTTTAATAGAAATTTAATATAGGTATAATATATGTAATAAATAGGTATATGTTTATGCATGTATGTATTATTACTTAATTGTATAATAACCTTAATTGTTTGAAAGTTATCATCCTAGTGTATGTCTTCTTGTTGGTGAGTTTATTTAAGAAACTGCATATATCGTGGACCATTCGCAATTCATTCAATTCACATTGAATTTATCGAACCCTTCAAGAACGTAGGAATTAGACCAGAAAAATCGGTCATTGACGGATCGTGGTAAGTTTAGTGTTAAAATGAAGGACGTACGTGTGTATATACGTACGTATTTTTTATGAAACTCGAATCACGACCAACTCGACTTACGACGAAAATTCCAAAACGGATACCCCATCGTAAGTTAAGCAATACAGTTGTATTTGCTAGTAAAGAAGTTCAAGGTTCATCCCCCGTTTGTCGAATAATTGTGCTCTTCGTCGACGTTTCTCAATCTTTTAAACGAGGTTGCATTTGGACTTGGTCACGTTGGGAGCCGCTGGATGCGGATCGATGAAAGACAAACTTTTGGCTTCGGATCAAGAATGACCGAGGGGAGGGATTGAAGATAATTGCGCACCGTAGAGGGAAGAGAAATAAGGGAAAGTCTGGGAGATATCGACGATCGAGTGGTAACGAATGTCGCGAGAGGAGAATTGATTGGACAGAACACGAAACTCGCGAGAGAGATTCGTTGATATCCCTTCCCGTTCAGTTTAGACTTGTATCAACAGTGGATTAATTGATATACGGTCAAATCTCCTCTAAACCAGGCGAACTTCTTCAGAATTTCGAAAATTGCAGATTCTTCTGGTTACCAAAATCGAGAGAATGGTTAACACTAGAACTACCGTTGAATGTACGCTGAATTAAATTATGAAATACACCGATATCTACAGTATAGTCTAATGTAGTGTCATATAAAATATATAATGAATTCAAGATTGCCCAGAATACCTATGCAAACCCTTTAATAATTTTAATAATTGCAAAATAACGAATCCAAATTCCGTCATTTCAAAGGGTTAGGTAATTCTAGTGTTAAACAACCAAGTGAATAGCAAACATTCAAGTTCAACTCCCTTCTACGTTATCTTCCGCTGGCAAACTGTGATCTCAAAAATCAACTCACGATTATCTGGCCCGTTTCGAAACGAGGTCGAAGATTCGATAAAAAGGTGGTCCATTCGAAAGTGACCTTTCGGCGAAACAATTGGTGAAAGAGGATCGTAAATCCGTCCGAGTGTGGACAATAGTTATGGTCGTCCTCGATGGCTGAGCAAACAACTGTGGTTTTCATTTCTTTGGAAAATCCAAGCGTTGTCCACGAGTTTCGTGATTCACGGTGCATCGCTGCATGCACGATCGTTGACACGAATTCCTCTGATACGCGTAGCGGGGCCACTTGGACGTCAACGGAACCGTCTCCCCGTCAACCTGCTCTCGGTGAACCCTTTCGGGAGGAAAATGTTCACGGAAAATTCGTTGCAAAGAGGATCCCGCTGTGGGACTCGTCTCGTTGCGAGTTTGCTCCGTTAGTAGACGCGCCCGTTACAGACACTAGACAGCATGCACTACGGATCTAGAGATCTAGTTCCAACGAAGCTTCCAACGGGACACTACGGGTTCGTTTGTACTTTGGCAGTGTGCACTCGGCCCGGGTTATTATCACCGATTGACACAACCCGTCAAAATGACAGATTGCAGGATTTATATTTTACAATTATTGATGTATAAATATATGTTGGCTACTAATTAACTACACTTTTTATACGATACTATATTACGCTAGATTGTAGTCACGTCTTATAGAAAGTTATGATTTCTGAAAGTCGTCGTGGCACAATGTTGCAAGTGTGACTTCTGACAGGAAACTGTCGCGCTAGCTACAGGGCTTAGGGTATATACTTGAAAAGGATCAAGGTAATGGTATAAAGGAAATTTTTTCGCTCTTTCTGCCGGGGGCATTCGACCAAAATTGATGGTACTACCTATGTAAATATTTATTATCTTTGATATAAAGCTGTTCGAGAGACCAGCGAAAGTGTTTACCTTTCTAGGAACCCGGGCCGTCTGCACGGGTTACCTCGAAGAGTTCGAGTGTATCGGTTAGGTATATCGTGGCAACCTGAAGCCGTTAACGATGCTTTTCCAGACTTTTAAGAGGCTTCTAGTTGTAATCCGAAGGCGGTGACAGGCGTGTTACGTAGTCACTTACCAGTTCTCCAGGATGCCGACGTTCGAGAAGTTCGGTGGAAAGCTCGCGGCCGCCATCGGGTGGTCGCGGCTGCGCCTTGTCCCTCCTGTCACTTCAGGTGCTCTTTAAAGTCGCGACGAGTCGCTGGAATCAGACCAGGAGAGCGCCAAGTTAACTTCCGCGAGTTCCTCCCGCGTGTAGGTACAGTAAATCTTCGATTAATGCTCGAAACTCGGATCTACTTTTGGAACAATTATCGTAGAGTTACAACTATTTCCGTACCCCATGAATTTCAGGCCGATTCTCGGCAGGTCGCCTTTGTCTTTTGCAAAGGTTAAAATCAGTACAGTAAATCATCGATGAGTGTTCGAAGGTTCTTGCGTGGTCAGACTTCATCCCCATCACTGGGTGTTTGACTGATTCCATAGGAAGGGGGGGGGGACTCCAAGTGCCAAGGACCCTTCGAACACTCATCGATGATTTACTGTATCCTGGACTCTGATCGTTTCTAGTCGATTCGAGTGAAGGAGAACGATGTTTGAAAGGAAGGATGATAAAGCAGAAGCATTTAACGTACAGATCTTCCTGAGCATTTATCGAGAATCTACTGCATATCGTACCCCGCGATTTCGAAAGAATTATCGATGAATTCAAGTGTTCGTATCCCCGTTTCACACCGGAGCGACACACACGCGTGCATTCGTCGTTTAGGGGTCGAGTCGAGGAACTGTGACTTGTCGCCCTGCAGTCACAGCGAACCTCCTTCGCGATACATTTTACCATTTACCATTCGAGGGCACAGTCGGTGGAATATAGAGTCGCGTAGGTGCGAGAGGAGGGGTGGTTGGGTGGAGAATTTGCGCGCCTTCGACTCGTTCTGGCTGCTGCCTTTCCTCGCATTATTATCTTTCTACTTTCGGTCGGAGGCTGCGCCTCGCACCGGCGGCACCCGGTATCGGTAATGAACGATCTATTGTGCTGGTGGGTGCTCTTTCAAACAGCAAGAGAGACGAGATATAAGAGGGTGAGGAGCGGTTGCTGAATGAGACCAAGAGATGGAAGAAGAAGAGAAAGAGAGAGAAGGGGATGGCATGGAAGAGGTATGAAAACGGCACTCGTTAATGGACTCCCACCAGACTCACCCTGTCCCACCACCCTCTTCCTCACTATCAGTCCCTTTCTACATCCTTCTTCTCGAAACCTTCTCTCGCCTACTTTCATCCCATCCTTCACTCACTACACGAAGCTTCCTTCCCCTCTAAATCGCGACTTACAATTCGCCGGCTAGTTCCCTCCTTCATTCTGATCCTCTTTCGACCATCCCCGAAACAGTTGACCGTGAAGATGGTCATTCGTTACATACCCTCACGAGTAAACTCGGCTTCCGCTAGAGGAAAATATAGCATAGGAGCCTTCTACCACTTGGTGAATTCATTTCAAGTACTGTAAGAAATGTTGCACCGAATGTTACTTTGGTATAAATTTCAGTAATTCCTTAGACTAAACGGTAGGAAGCTGCTACGTTACTTGTTTCCCTAAGGGAAATCGAATTTACTCGTCGTATACGTGTACCTATTATTGTTATCACAGAGGGTTACGAATTACAGCGATGAGAATTGAACGACAGTGAAGAGCGAGCAAAGCGAATGAACGACGAAGAGTAAACCGGTCGTAGAGTAATAGATGGAAGACTGACAGGTGGAAAAATCGAGTGGAGAACACTGTCGAAAGGAGAGACAAAGATACAGGGGAGAGGGGTAAAAAATAAGGGGGAGGGAATTGTTACCGAGAGGATCTGCTTTCTCGACGATGCTTCGGGCTGGTCTCGTGCGCGGGTCCATTGTTCTCCGTTCGGACCCCGATCGATATCGCGTTAAAATCGTAACGAGATTCTATTTCGAAACGATAACGATCGTCACCGGTGAATCGACGCCTGCTCCTCGAACCACGATAAACGATGGAAACCTGTTCTTCTTTTTTTTCTTTCTCCAGCGATCCCTCGTACACAGGCCTGGTTTTCGAAAATGATCCCGATTCGTCGTTCCAGGCGAGAGCATTGTCTCCTGGCACGTTAACCCTTTGCACTCCAAGACACTTTTATTCTAAATGACTGGAAACCTAAAGGTACCGTTCTTGTGTCTGTTTCGAAACATGTAAGTGATGCTTCCCTGATAACGATTTATAAAATTTACTAAATACAATTTTGATTAGTTAGTGTTTAGTTTGTATTGTAATAACACACAACTTACTTGTATTTTACAGGAGCGACGCAGCAACGCCAGTGGAGTGCAAAGGGTTAATGGTGAACATTTTTGTAATTACGGCCTCCTTCAAAGAATTAGAGCAGCGACGATATCACCCGCTAACTGCATTTTTTTTAGTACAGCAGACGCACACTTTATCACTTTAGTGACAATGTCCGCAACATTTCTTGCCGATCGGCAGTAAAAAATTGTTCGAACCCTATCGTTCCTGAATTATTTAAAAATCGCCAAAAAAATATTTCTTTTTGTATTTTTGTGTATACTACGTAACGTATAAATGATGCAGAATAATATTTTAACATTCTGAAATCGTGTAATGCCCCTTTTTATTCGTTGTCATTCGACAGCGTGGCCAGAACACGGTAAATAACTGGTTTTCGCATAAACATTTCCGCAGGGCCCACGTAATTCAAGAAGGCCGTGTGAGGGGGTAGGGGGAGGGGGTGAGCAGAAACTGTATATGCAAATTCCAGAGTGGCTGGAATGTTTCTCAGCGTGGTCCAAATTAACCGGCTAATGAGAAAATTATTTGCCCGATTGCTCTATTTCGCGTCATAATGAACGGGGAAGGGGGCGTGGGGAGAGGGGGGGATCATCCCCAAATTTCGCGAGAATTTCAATAGCGGTCGCGGCGGGTGACTGTCTTCTTCGGTGAAGGGATTAAATCCTTGATTAGCGGATGAAGGCTTGGTTGCAAATTATCGTCGACTCGTTCCAACCATTGACCCGGTTGCCGATTATTATTCGTTCCTCTGATATTTTAGAGTAACGGGCACCGATATGAGACATGCGCCTAAAATGAGACTTCATAGTATTTCCACAAGGAAGTGCTGCATAATCGCAGTAATGTTTAGAACTATTAAAACGAATGCAAACTTAGGTTTCAATGCGTTTCGGTGGTATCCTCTGGGAGACAATAAGGAAAAACAATTTTTGTTTTTTGTACTCACTTGTAAATTCTTATTCAATTTAAATATTCTGAAGTAGATTAAAATAATCATTCAAATTAAATTGGTAAAGTGGAAAGTAATGCCCGCACGAGACCGATCGGATTCACACAAACTTTTCACCCATATAGTTATACAATAAATCAATGGCTAATTCAGACCCAATAAACCGCATACGTGATACTGCGAACTCTTATTGCACTTGCCTAGACTTTTTTGGTATTAGCATATGCAGCTTCAGAAATTCGGCTCGTAAAATTTTCGAAAATACGTGGCTTGTCCGTTACAAACATATGTGCATTTTATGTAACTATTTCAGCATTGATACCTTTCTACACTAATGGGGATTTATCTCTGTTGCGAGGTGTTCACGAAAATGGTTAAGTTGGAATATTTCGCGAACGTCGCTTCCCGAAAAATAAATTAATATTATCAGGATATTTGTAATGAATGAATGACACTGGTCAAGTGGACTCTATTGATGTTGGACGCAGAATGACAAGTTGTGGTACGGAAAATGTCTACAGGTTTGTATTGCATGAATAGTGTGTTGGAGTGGTGGATGTATTTGTACATGATTGGTGTTCTGAGTTGGTGTGGGTGTGGCAAAATTTGTCTGTAATTGTGGAAGGTAGAACGATGCGTCGAAGTTCTCCTTCTCGAAGTATACCTGAAATTCTTAGAATCGGTGGCAAGGAAAAACCGTAAGTCAATAAAAATATTCTAGTGTCCTACACGTGTTTTTTAGCTGTCCAAAAACCCCAGGTTATGGTCATCGTCGACGTCTAACGGCAATTCGGAAACAAAAGGAAATTTCCTGCCATAAACGCCTCGATTGCTATAAACCTCGACTTGACTATAACCGCGTTTCAACAATCTCCGTTTCTCCTTATCATCTGTATTAATAGAGATGCTAAAATTAAAAAAAAAAAAAAAAAAAAAAAAAAAAAAACGTGGAACCCCAGTTAGATACGATACCAAACGCGGAAGCCACCTTAATTAGTGGGAACATCGGGAAACGCCGCGAAAACCGCCGGGAACTCGAGAAACGACGAGGACTCAGCACACCGCACAGTCGGAGAAAGCGACAGCCACAACGAAATCCGTTGTCATCGATCGACGGCCATTGTCTGCCGCCATTGTTTGTCGGTTCGCGCGCGTCGCTGATAAGGGCCGCGCGACGGATTCGCGTTTTCCAGGTATTATCTTCGGCGACACGGGGATGGGGCAGGGAGAATTCTTTGTTCCCGTCACGGTTCATCGATCGATCGATCGGTTGGTAACTCGCGTGCTCGATTTCGAGAGATGATCGACGACTCGTCGATCGTTTCGCGACGAACTCCGAGCAGGTACACGTCGAACGAACGTTCATCAATTTTCCATTCGCCCTATCGTCATTAGGGAATCCAATCCAGATTGTTTCTGGAATTATAAAAATCTCGACATTCAATATAATTAATCCCGGGAATTTCGGGATTATTTAAAGACGTGGATTACTTTGTACACAACTCAAAAATATAAACATAAACAGAATAAATACACAACACCGTTTCATAAAACAGTAAAGACTCCATGAGAGTTTGAAAGTTGGGATGGCTTCCAAACATTCATATTCTGTTTATTTTTCCATTTTCACGTTGTTTAAAAAGTAATTCATAGTTTCCCAAAAAAAATCCCAAAATTCTCCACGATTAGTTGCACTCATATTTTGAGATTTTTTGAATTCCAAAAACCGTCTAAATCGGGGGATCCCATATCCCCTAAACGGGATCCACGTTTACTCAAACGAACGGTGGTACAATCGATCGTTGATTCGATCGCGTGAAACACCATATATCAGTGTCTTCGTTAAGGGAGAAACAGGGCGAAGAAAGGGACCGGAAAGTTTCCAGACTGATCCCGGTTCTCCGCGCGCGGATTCACGGCGATACCT